CCCTATAAACCTTGGCCTGAAAAGGCCTGTAGGCCCTGTAGACTGGGTCGGGCCTATAAGCAATCCCTAACACTACGAGCCTAACGCCCAAGTCAGTTGTTTTTTTGTTTAAATGCCGGTGCCCTAAGAATCCGAATTAGGGGCCGGTGGGATGGGCCAGAGGTATCGGAAGTTTAGGGCTTAGTTTGGGACACGTTGCCCGGGTACCATCGTGGAGCACCTGCCCGACAGTGATTGCATGCGGCTTTGCATTTAAGGGATACAAGGAGGGACCCCTAGAAGGGGCCCTGAATCTCATTCCCCTACGTAAACCTGTTATATACCGTATAGTCCCCATGTACCCCCTAAACCCTAAACCCTAAACCCTAAGCCCTAAACCCTAAACCCTAAACCCTAAACCCTAAACCCTAAACCCTAAACCCTAAACCCTAAACCCTAAACCCTAAACCCTAAACCCTAACCCTACCAAGGTCCCTCCGCCTAGAGTCCCCCTCATGTTCGGCTTGGCACCAGGCTGCGCAGGAGGCCGGCATGACCGAGCAGGACACCACCAGGGATTTGGGGTTTAGGGTTGAGGGTTTAGGGTTTAGGGTTTAGGGTTTTTAGGGTTTACAGGGTTTATAGGGTTTAGGTTTTTTTTTTTTTTTTTGGGGGGGGGGGGGGGGGGGGGAGGGGTTTGGGGGCTTCACTTAGTAGCTGAGAGGATAACCTTTAGCCTTTTTGGGTGTATATGCAATCCTACCCATAGTTGGAAGGTTGGCCTTCTTTAGGCCAGGGTACTCAGCAACTGGGCTTACAGGATCCAGGTTCCAGTTGAGATCGGAGAGGGGTCCTGATGGCCTTCAATCTGACCTGCAGCTGTGATTCGTCTTCGCCCGAGGCATTGATAGTTGCACTCCGGTGACCAACCCTGCGACATTGGAGGTTTCCGAACATAGGGGTACCCTGTTTTTCGGGGAGTCCCTTTAAGGCATTTGATTCTATTTGGGGTATAAAGGGGTACCCCTATTTTGAGACAGACCAATTGTGCCCTGGTAGGAGCAGTGGCAGCAAGTGGCAACTGCTGCAGCGGCGACAACGCTGTCGCTGTCGACGGCTGCGACCAGGCCCTGCATCTGTTGCAGCCGATATATGGGGGTTTACGATAAACCCCAAATAGTAGGATCCCCGTATCATATAGATAGAAGGCTCAAGGACCCAATAGGGCAACCCCCCCACTATGCCTTGCTTCGGACCCTTGTCCGGACGGCAGGCTCGATCAGCTGCAAACCCCGAAATCCTACTTCCTGACACGCTCAACCTCGGTTGCTGCTCAGGAGTTTATAGGGTTCTTAACAGAGGGGTTCATGGGGGGTAGGTACCAAGGGAACCTTAGGAAGATTAGGGAGCCTTAAGGGGTAGTGGGGAGTGTTAGGGAACCTGGGGCTCCCTTGAGAACCCTGTATGGAGCTTGAATGCAGTTCCCATAGATATGGAGATACATATGTATGTATATGTATATATATATATATATACACGTGTAACTGTAGTCTTTATTGTTTCCTTTTTCTAGGTAACCTCTTTCCCCTACAGCCATCCATCAGTTTTCAAGCTGTGTAGCAGCCACAAGTCCGAACAACAGGGAAGAGCGCAGCCACGAAGCGCAGCTTGCTGCCGAAGAGGTCCGGTCAAGGGTCTTGGGCCTTCTGTTTTATAGGGTTTGTCGGCAGCAGAGAGTTGGCATATACACATATTATAGTCAAGTATATTGCATGTGTTGTATTTGCATCTATTTCTGCACATGTATACATGTGAATAAACAAGTGCATAATAGATACATATGTGTATTGCTAGGCGTTGGTATCTGTATATGCACACACACACATATATATATATATGTATATATAGAGACTGACTTAAATATTTAGAGAGAGCGAGAGCGAGACCGAGAGAGAGAGAGAGAGAGAGAGTGAGAGTGAGAGTGAGAGTGAGAGTGAGAGTGAGAGTGAGAGTGAGAGTGAGAGACAGAGAGAGAGGTTCGTAGACCGTGCCGCCCCCATGCAGCCAGCCAGACATGCGCTAGTATTTCAGGAAGGTACGCATGCCCGCCCTTCTTTGAATGATGCCTAGCATCAAAAACAGTCAGCGTGGGAGTCTCGAAACCCAAAAGACATCGCGAAATGCTTTGAAATGCTTTGAAAAGGTCGTGAAGTGGTCACCCTTTCCGCCAGAGGTCCAGGACGGCCCGGCACATTTGGGATTGCAATGGGCACCCAAAGAGTTCAGGTGCAGGTTTCGCGAATTCTGACGAGTTTCCGTGTACTTGAGTCTGCTTGAATTTCCTCAGATCCGCCCCCTCCCTCAAACCCCCCCAAAAAATCCCTCAGCCCTCGATGCGCAAGACCCCGAAACCTTCCCACCCAGCATGGTGTGCACCTCCACATTCAGGTGGCCCAAGCCGCCCAGGCTGGTACAGTTGAAGGGGTTGCCTAAACCCTGAACCCTAAAGCCCTAAACCCTAAAACCTGAGCCCTAAACCCTAAACCTTTTCGGTGGTTGCTTCTTTTTTCCACACCCTCAGACGTAGTGGCACAGCAAGTTGATGCTGGCAGCTACAGTTGTTGAACTTGTGGTACTTCGTCCAACGCTGGGCTCTGTAACCCTGCCTGTTATTCATGGACCCTTTCAGCTGTTTACGAAGTTCGGGTGAAGCTTCGTTCTGCTCCACTACGTTTCGCGCCATGTAAGACCCCCATTTGCTCCGCACCTTTCTTCAACGGTTCTTGGGAGAGCTGTGCTAGGTTTTGGATCTTTGGCTGGGGTTTAGGGTTTAGGGTTTAGGATTTAGGATTTAGGGTTTCAACCTAGGCGGGGGAAATGTCGCAAGAGGCCCCCAGGTGCTCTGCCGGGGAATACTTGGGCAATCCTCTTTGGGGTAGAAGCAGCTAGCATCTGAGCACATGGATCTTTCGACCTTTCGAGATTCGCGGGCATGTCTAGATTCGGTCCTTCATTCTTGACTGTAATTTCAGGGGCATTGCTGAGCTCACTTGCATGGGTCGTCTTGGGACTGCATCGCATAACCTCAGCAGAGTTGTCCAATAGAGTCGCACACATGTCCATGCACATGCAGGCAGTCCAAATCGCCATGGCTTTCACTGGGTCGCAAACGTCTGAGCTGCCGGCAGCTGGGTCTGCAGAGTACTGCTATACAAGATGTTTGCCGTTTTTATTCCCTAAGCCTTCGCTTCAGAATCCCCCCCCCCCCCCTTGTGAAGAGACTTCCCAGTGCCTCGGTTCTCACTTGGCCGGATCTTGTCCCGTCCAGCTGTTATTAGTAGCGCGACGGCAAAATGGTGGTTCTGTGCCAGGGGTTGACAATGTTGACATGTCCGTCAATGCTGAAGCCCCCTCCCCACCGGTACAGAACACACATGGAGCAATGACAGGCCATTGACGTTTCTCCCCCTAAACCCCTGAACCCTAAACCCCAAACCCCAAACCCCAAACCCTAAACCCTAAACCCTTACTAAGCCCTAAACCCTAAACCCTAAACCCTAAACCCTAAACCCTAAACCCTAAACCCTAAACCCTAAACCCTGCCCTAAACCCCAGGTCGTGGCTTCCCAGGCTGCCCGGCAGGTCGCCAAAGCCATGCACTTGCCCGAGGCTCGCGCACCCATCTCGGGGAGCCCGCGCGACATGGGGGGGGTTTCCGAAATTCGGGGTTTAGGGTTTAGGGTTTAGGGTTTAGGGTTTAGGGTTTAGAAGGTTTAGGGTTTAGGGTATAGGGTAGTATTAGAGTCCTTGTTATGAGGGGATCCTACTGTTTGGGGATCTGCATTAGGGGTCCCGTCATTTTCGTAAACCCCCATATCGCAGCATGCTTATGCAGAAATGAATCAAGAAGTTGAACCAGTTCTTGCGTGCATATACCTATATATACACATGTACATCTTCAATCCTGTTATGTGTTTAGTTATTCATTTGTTGGGTTGGAGGGGGGGGAGGTTGTCACAAGGTGGTGTACATGTATGTACGTACAAATTCGCGCCTACGACGTGCGTCTGTAAATGTAAATGAAGACATAAGATGCGCGTGTGTGTGTGTGTGTGTGTGTGTGTGTGTGGGTGGGTGGGTGGGTGGGTGTGTGTGTGTGTGTGTGTGTGTGTGTGTGTGTGTGTGTGTGTGTGTGTGTGTGTGTGTGTGTGTGTGTGTGTGTGTGTGTGTGTGTGTGTGTGTGTGTGTGTGTGTGTGTGTGTGTGTGTGTGTGTGTGTGTGTGTGGGTGTGTGTGTCTGTGTGTGTGTGTGTGTGTGTGTGTGTGTGTGTGTGTGTGTGTGTGTGTGTGTGTGTGTGTGTGTGTGTGTGTGTGTGTGTGTGTGTGTGTGTGTGTGTGTGTGTGTGTGTGTGTGTGTGTGTGTGTGTGTGTGTGTGTGTGTGTGTGTGTGTGTGTGTGTGTGTGTGTGTGTGTGTGTGTGTGTGTGGGTGTGCGTGTGCGTGTGCGTGTGCGTGTGCGTGTGCGTGTGCGTGTGCGTGTGCGTGTGCGTGTGCGTGTGCGTGTGCGTGTGCGTGTGCGTGTGCGTGTGCGTGTGCGTGTGCGTGTGCGTGTGCGTGTGCGTGTGCGTGTGCGTGTGCGTGTGTGTGTGTGTGTGTGTGTGTGTGTATAGCTTGGGATTGTCCCCCTTATACTAACAGTCCTGTTAGTATAAGGGTGAACATCTCACTGTATCTAGGTTTCGGGCTTTGGGTTGTTGCTGTAGGGTGCCAGGCCCCACATGTAGAAAGCCATTAATCTCAAATCACAGCGTGTTCGAGCAGAGATGTGTAGGAGGCATCATTGCTCGTTTAAAGCTGACAGAAGGTTCCTGGAAGGCGTGCGCTCGAGGGTTTAGGGTTTAGGGTTTAGGGTTGGGGTTTAGGGTTTATATAAGGTTTAGGCATTTACCTTGCACGTGAGAACTTCAATGCGCGTTGCAGGGCATGTCGGTTCAGGAGGGGCCTTGCTCGCAGTGTGCCGGCGATGCTGCGCGTGTGGAGGGTGTCTGGAGAGGAGCTGGCCACCATACCCGCTGAAATCGCAGAGGAGCTGGGCAGCATCTGGGCTCTGAAGCACCGCCTGCGCATCAAGAATGGCCTGCCGGTGTGCCTTCAACAGCTCGTGCACATGCACAATGGCTGTAGGCTAGATGACGCTGCCAAGCCGCGTGCACCCATGGACATGCAGCTGGTCTTGTTGTCCCAGGCTCGGGGCTTTGATGCCTCACGTGAACTTCTCGAAGCAGCTGGCACCTTGGGACAAAATGAACACTGCAACCCCTATTAAGGTACATGGCCCTTAAACGCTTTTAGGATAACACCTCGTGCCTACCCGACCCCCCCCCCCCCCCCCCCCCCCCCCCCCCCCCCCCCCCCCCCCCCCCCCCCCCCCCCCCCCACCCCCCGGCCCTACCCCCCCTAAGGCAAAGGCGAGCTTGAGGTCGTTCGCTTGCTCTTGGAAGCTGGGGCGAGCAAGGACTCAACCGACGACGTCATCACGGCCCTCCTGGACGCGGCTGGCAACTTGTGTAGCCCAGTGGTACCCGATTTCCCTTTTTTCTTGGTTCAAGATTCCCATATATAAAGTAACCCTCCTAGAAATTATGTCCCTTTTGCTTGGTTCAAGATTCCCCTTATAAAGAAGCCCACCTCAAAAAAAAGGGGTGCCCTTAACAGAAGATGCTTCCTGGGCTACTACCGAGGCAATGGCCACATCGAGATGGTCCGTTTCCTGTTGGAGGCTGGTGCAGCCAATCATTTGACGCATTGGCAACTAGGTAGCCTTGGGACATTTTATATTTGAACCCTAAACCCTAAACCCCTAATTCTTCAGAGTGTCTTAAGGGCCATGGCTAGGCAAGGAAGAGCTGCTCTGATTCGGGCAGCAGCCCGCGGCAACACTGAGATCACCAGGCTGCTAGGCAGAGCATATTTTGCAGAGGGTTCTGAAGCCCTAAACCCTTGGGACATGTTTTGTTTGTTTTTCCCCTTATTGGGTTGAAGAGGGTCATATTCAGAACATATGTGCAGAGGACCCTAAACCCTAAACCCTTGGGCCATGTTTTGTGTTTTTTTTCTTCACTTATTTGGGGGCTCTAAGAGGATGATGTTCAGAGCATATGTTGCAGAGGCTTCCGAAGCCCTAAACCCTAAACCCTAAACCCTAAACCCTAAACCCTAAACCCTAAACCCTAAACCCTAAACCCTAAACCTTGTTTGGCCATCCCAGGCTGCTGCTCGAAGCTGGCGCCGACAAAGACTTGGCGGACGAGCAAGGCAGGACAGTTCTCATGTGGCTCGGGTAGCCCAGTGGTGCCCCCTTTTGGCCCTTTTTTTGGGGGGTTTAGGGTTGAGGGTTGAGGGTTGAGGGTTGAGGGTTTAGGTTTTAGGGTTTGCGCGCTTTGACACGCCTGTGCAGAAAAGGGTTTGGGGTTTAGGATCTGGGTGGCCCAGTGGTGTCCTTTACCCTTTTTTGTGCATGGGTTCCCTCATTTAGAGGAACCAATCCTCACCCTTATTCGCCCTTGTTATCATAAGATGCCCACCCCCCCCCCCCCCCCCCCCAACCCATTTTTGGGTATGGGTTCCCTTATTTAAGGGAACCAACCCCCAAACAAGGCTGCCCTTATCATAATATGTTTAACTGGCTTGCTAAGGTGGGCATCTGGCAAAGGACACACCGAGGTCGTGGGGTTGCTGTTGGACGCCGGTGCTGCCAAGGATTGGACGGACCGGAATGGCCATACAGCTACTCACTTAGCCAGTAGTTGAACTTTTTGGGTCTCCTTATTTGGGAGGGAGAATACATACAGTGTCACCTTTTTTTTGCCCTTGGCTGTTGGAGAAGTAAGGCTATGGCCTGGGCAGCTATGGCAGGTCATGCTGATGTTGTGCTGTCTCTGCTGCGCGCAGGCGCGGTGAAGGATGTGACCGATCAGCAAGGCCGAACAGCCATGGTCCACGCCTCCGAGAACGGCCACCAAGAAATTGTGAACACACTGTCCTAGGTCGGCCCTTGGAATGCCTGATAGTTCCGGTGGCTTATGGGTTTAGGGTTTAGGGTTTAGGGTTTAGGGTTTAGGGTACATCAGAGGGCTTCAAGGATTTAAAGAGGGCCAACCTAGAATCAGCCGGCAAGGCTAAGAAAGCTAGGCGGTTCCCCGAGCTGCAGTACTGCACAGGGGCGGAACCGGCTGCTAACGACACACTGTCAGCCGATACAGCTCGCTGACTACCACAGCATCTCTGAAAAAAGCCGCAGCTGTGTGAATAGCATGGTCATAACCCTAGATTTCCCCGTGCTCTGGTTGTTGCCCTTGTTGGGGGGGTGCCTAGCTTGAGGTGCGCTTTAAAGGGGGCGAGATCACGTTGACTAATGGCATGTCCCCTTATTTCAGGTCTAGTTAACCTGGAGGTACGTGCAAAAGTGGGGTTTAATAAGAGGCTGGTTTAATTTTGAGACCCTGAACCCTAAACCCTAACTCCTAAGCCCTAAACCCTAAACCCTAAACCAAACATGCTTGCCCGGTGCTTTTTTTGAGGACCCCTCTAGGGACACTCGCACCCCAAAGAAGCCCTGATCCTGCGCCAGGCTTCTCTAAGTGCGCTGGAAGAAGAGGCCAGGGCCAGGGCTTTCATCTTAGGGTTGAGGGGTTTGGTGGGGTTTGGGGTTTAGGGTTTCGGGTTTAGGGTTTCAGAAAGGACTGTTGTGTTTAGGCTTTAGGGTTTAGGGTTTAGGGTTTAGGAGTTGAGTTGAGGGTTTAGAGTTCCAGGCCTTAGCGTCTCACTTCCAGGCATATCCCAAGCTCCTGGTTCAAAAAACGGCCTTCTAACAAACTTTAAAAGGGTGCAGGGTTCGGAGTTCAGGGGGGAATCGGCTCCCATCGATCAACCTGTCTCAATCCGCCGGCCAGGCAATGCAGGAAGCCCGTGACATCCAGAAGCACTTCGAGTCAATGGTCGATCCTTCGTAGCTGAGCGAGTACACTTTACACTTCTTGGGATACTATAATCCCCTTTAACTGAAAGTGTACAATTTTGGGGGGGCTTATGCACTCAGCAACCAAGGATCACAGCGTGGCGGTGAAGACGGTGAAGAAGGATATTATGCCAGGCGATGGGGGGAGGGGTTGTAGAAAGGGTGAAAGCGACACGCACAAACTTGATGGCCTTCCCCCCCCCCCCCCCCCCCCCATGGCATGGGCGATTGAGCTTTAACGACTTCTAATATAGGGGTCGGAATAATTACAAATAGTACTCCCTTGCAGCCCCTTTAGAATTGCTGTATATTATAACAATAGATATTCAAAAAAGTAAAAAATAGACAAACAAATAACTGTAAAAAAGCAAAAATGGATCAACAAATGAACAAGAATCCTATTCGAACTATTCAGGCAGGTGCCCCTGTAGTACCCTGGTTCGGGGACCAGCCGATCAGGGATCGGGCTGCCGGGAGTCGGTCTTGGTCTTGTTGGTTCCCTTTTTTGGTTTAGGGTTTAGGGTTTAGGGTTTAGGGTTTAGGGTTTAGGGTTTAGGGGTTCTTGTAAGGGTTCAGGATTCAGGATCATTTAGTTTCGGTACTCCCCAACCCTATAAATCCAATAAACCCCAATATCCCCATAAACCCGAAAAACAAAAATCAGCCTAAAACCCCGCAAAAACCCGTCGAAACCCTCTAGTACACCCTACAAGCCCTATAAACCAACAAGAAGAAAGCCGTTGAAAAAGCTCTACACCCTACAAACCCTATAAACCAACAAGAAGAAAGCCGTTGAAAAACCCCTGCGCCCTTCCTCCCCCAGCCCGTTCTGCTCGCCTAGGCTTGGCTCCCTTTGCGAAGGCCTGCCTGGCGCTTTCTTCTTCATCATCTTAGGGTTCAGGGTTTAGGGTTTAGGGTTTAGCGTTTAGGGTTTAGGGTTTAGGGTTTAGGGTTTAGGGTTTGGGGGTTTTGCTAGGGCTATGAGAATCTGTGTATATATACAAGTATTTGTGTGTATATATATATATATATCCGTATATAACTAATTGTAAACGCTGAGTGTTGACCGCCTCGGGCATTCCCGAAAATCCGTTTGTCTACAGGGAGACTCGAGAGGCGCTTTGGGACTTCAGCCCTGCTAGGTAAAAAAGAAGAGCGTTTAGGGTTTAGGGTTTAGGGCATAGGGTTTAGGGTTTAGGGAAAAACTAGGATGCTCTGTGGTGCCTTCCTTCCCATTTTTTTAAAAGGGGGGGTTAGGTTCCCTTAAAAACCCAACCCTAAACCCTGTTTTACACCTAGGGGGCAACGTTGTAAAGTAGTTTTTGGGTTGGTGGCTCAATCCGTGGCTCGCGTTCGGTGGCTCGATCCTTCTTGCGTCAGGGGGTCCCGAAATACGCCGTTTAGGGTTTAGGGTTTTAGGGTTTCGGGTTTAGGGTTTAGGGTTTAGGGTTTAGGGTTTAGAGCTTAGGGCCCCAATCGCGCCTGCTGGGACTCCCCCAGGGATCCAACTCCCAGCGCGTGAACTCCAAACCACCTACGCCTTCAACATCCTTCAACCCTAACCTCATGAATTCCAACCCTGTCTTCTTAACCTCATATGCCCTAGAAACCCTAACCCTCAGCCCTAAGCCCTCAAGCCTAAACCCCAAACCCTAAACCCTAAACCCTAAACCCTAAACCCTAAACCCTAAACCCTAAACCCTACACTCTTCTAAGCCCCCAAAGAAGCCGTCAACCCTCGGCAGGCGCAGATGGACGAGAAAGTCCTCGAGTCGGCGCCCTCCCACGGGGACGCGCGCATCGCGCAGAAGGCCCCGCCAGGATGCAGAGCAGGGTTCAGGGTTTAGGGTTTAGGGTTTAGGGTTTAGGGTTCAGGCTCCCCTTTTTGAGAGCTTAGGTGCCTTTTAAGCCCCTTTAAGCCAGAAAAGGCACCCTACCATTCCTACGTTGTGGGTCCACCGCGGGAGTTGCGTCTCAGCCACTTTGTTAGAGGGCGCTCCTATGGGGTTTAGGGTTTATAGGGCCAAACCCTAAACCCTAAACCCTACACCCTAAAACCCTAAACCCTAAACCCTAAACCCTAAACCCTAAACCCTAGCCTTAGGGTTTTCTGCGGCTTAGCACCTTGGGGGTTCTGTAGGGTTGGGACCTTGGAGTGTATAGGTTCTAGGTCCTTAGGGTTTAGGGTTTAGGGTTTAGGGTTTAGGGTTTAGGGTTTAGGGTTTATAGGTCCTTAGGGTTTACAAAGGGTCGAGGGCCTCAGGGTTTCTCAGATAGGCTTGCAGGCCTCAGGGTGTCAAGGGCTGTTGGGTAGAGGGTTTTGGGGTGGTGAGCAGACACAGCAGGTGCAAGAAGAAAGGGTTTTGTCATGGGTTCTCCGACTACCCCTCTCAATACTACCTCCCTAGGTTCCCCGTAATTAAGGCTCTTTAGGGATGGTTAAGCCTGATGAAGGTTATCTAAGGGCGCGAACCTGGGGGGGGGGGGGGGGGAGTATAGAGGGGTGTAGTAGGGAAACCCCTAAACCCTAAACCCTAAAGCTAGCAGGTAGAGACCGCCTCGGAGTTCGGGAAACTCCATGCGCCTGGGAGATTTAAGGGCTCCGTTTGCACAAGGGGACCCTAAACCCTAAACCCTAAACCGTAAACCCTAAGCCCTAACCCCTAACCTCTAACCACTAACCCCTAACCCTAACCCCCCCAAAAAAACAAAATCAAAATCCAAGGCACCCTTGCGCACCACAGAACTTGGGTTTGGCGTTTTGGGTGATATTGGGTTGAACCCAACAGCCTGCCCTCAGGGCTTAGCCAGGGTTCGTAGATTTGTTCTGATCGAGGCCTGCGTTCCCGGTAGGGGAGACGGAAGCCAAGGGCTCAACCCCTGAGAACAGACCCCCCTCTGTTCCATCTAAGTTGTTAGGGGCTTCGCGCCCAAAAGAAGCTTTCATTTTGTGGGTCGGCCACGATCTGGTTTAGGGTGTACAGGGGTTATACTGTAGGGTTTATAGGATGATAGGGTTTATCGGGCTTATAGGGATTATAGGGTGATTACAGAGTTTGCAGGAAATACAGAGACTAGGGGCTGCATGTTGAGGACTTTGACTTAGGGGGGGGTGTAAGAGTGCAAGCCTCACAGCCTCCGCATACACTCATTACCTAGAAGGGACCCTTATTCTTATTCCCCTATATAAACCCCTATATTTAACCCTTATAGTACATACCTTATGATATAGTCCCTATATAGCCAAGTAGCCTCTAAATAAGCCCCTCAGGTCCCTTAAGGGTCCCTCCTTTAGTCCCATGTATTCGGGTCTAGGGTTTAGGGTTTAGGGTTTAGGGTAAGCACCAAGGATGTCATCAGCCACGCCATCGATGGCACGACGGACGCCGAGATTAAAGCGAGGGACGAAGCGAGAGCTGCAGCTGCTTCCATGGTGGCCAAGGACTTATAGGGTTTAGGGTTTAGGGTTTAGGGCTACGTAGGGTTTCGGGTTTAGGGTTTAGGGTTTAGGATTTAGGGTTTAGGGTGTAGGGTTTAGGGTTTAGGGTTTAGGGACTTGTTAACCCAGTGGTACCCTTGACTCTTTTTTTCTTTGGTGCTGGGTTCCCTTATATAGTAACAAACCCTATAAAGGGGTGCCCTTGCTATAAGATGGTAGGATGCCTTTCGCTTATAATATATATATATATATATATGTTTGTTTTTTCTATTTTTTTTTTTTGGGGGGGGGGGGGGGGGGGTTGGGGGGGGGATTGAGGTTCCCTTATGGACCCCTTTAAGCAAAGAAAAGGGCACCCTTCTGAAATCCTAGGTTACTGGGCAACCTAGGCATTGCTTGCAGGTTTAGTACATGGGGGGGGGGGGGGGGGGGGGTTATCCTGCGCTGCGATGGCTTTTTCTTGAAGTGGCCCAAACCACCCGAAAGCCCAAACAAAAGCTGAGACATCTGTCCTATACCGAAAATTCCTAAACCCTAAACCCTAAACCCTCCAACGTAAGAACCTCGACGGCCAAAATGGTGGTAGCAAA